CCAGGGACGGGTACTCCTGCTAGTAATATATAAATAGCAAAATTTAGTACAGAATTGTAGTTGCTTACTTTCACAGCCTGTATCCTTCCGCCAATCAAGGATGGTTCCGGCCCGTTCACATTCTCTTGCATAAGCCTGAAGAGCTTCACAATAACATTTCTCCGCAAGAGGGCACTCACACATATCGATAAGGCAGGATCTACAAAGATAAATTGGAATTTCATTTAAAATTCGTTAGTTTTAAAATATGTGCGCCTAGTGTTTCATGTAATAACTTTGGAAAAGAATTTTTATCTCAACATCTTCAAACTAAGACTTTATTTATTTATCGATATCGTTAATGAAAATGGAGTTAGGAAATTAAGTAAAACTTAGAAATGTGGATTACAAGCCGCGTTTCTTGTTTTACAAACATAATTATAAGATATTTTATTTTATGATTTTTTACAAACTTATTTTAATAATGTTTGTTTTTTGTTTGTTTTAAATTTCGCGCAAAGCTACACGAGGGCTATCTGCGCTAGCCGTCCCTAATTTAGCAGTGTAAGACTAGAGGGAAGGCAGCTAGTCATCACCACCCACTGCCAACTCTTGGGCTACTCTTTTACCAACGAATAGTGGGATTGACCGTCACATTATAACGCCCCCACGGCTGAAAGGGCGAGCATGTTTGGTGGGACGGGGATTCGAACCCGCGACCCTCAGATTGCGAGTCGAGCGCCTTATCCACCTGGCCATGCCGGGCCTATTTTAATAATGACCACTTCACAAAATTACACCGTATGTAACATGTGAACAAAGTGTTATTTCTTTTATAGATTATAAAGTTTTAAAATAGCATACCTTCCATTGCAACTATTGACGTTTTTATTAAATGAAAGCCAAAATCGATCAGTTACAGTTCTCACATGTTTGAAACATTTAACCGTTTCATTTGCACGCTAATCAATAGTAACATGGAATGTTTTTGTTTGTTTATTATTAAGCACAAAGCTACACAATGGGTTATAAGTGTACTGCTCACGGCGAGTATCGAAACTCGATTTTTAGCGTTATAAGTTCTCAGACTTACTTCGGAACCGCAGGGGCCAATACGCATACTGAATGCCAAAATGTTTTTTTAAGATCACACTTCAGCATAATATAAGGTTGATAACAGGAAGGCAAAGAATGAATTATAGGCATAAGGAAAAGTTTTATTGATGATGGAACATACAACATGTTTTAACAGAACATTGGTCTGTCTTCTTCAAGTATGAACATACTACATGTTTTAACAGAACATTGGTCTGTCTACTTCAGGTATAAACATACTACATGTTTTAACAGAACATTGGTCTGTCTTCTTCAAGTACTAAACAATCCAAAGTTTATATATCGTTACAAAGACAATAGTGATTAAATGTGACGGAAATGGTTTGAGCAGGTGACAGGATGTAGGTAGAGGTTAAGTCTGGTCAAGTGTATGAACGGTGAATAGACCTTGCCAAATACAGCTGATGTTGCTGGGACTGATATCACAGTTTAGTGAGAGGTCATTGCTTTGATGATTTCAATAGTTTCTATACAGTCTCTTTCTTCTTTAGTTCTAGGTTGGTGTAAGAGAAGAATTTCGTTACAAAGTATTTGTGATCTGTTTCATATTGATGATATATAAAGGCGGATATCTGGAAATTACCTCTACTCATGTGACCTTGGTGTTCTTTGCGTCTTGTTTCTAAGTGACATTATGTTTGTCCCATGTATTTCTTTCCACATTCACATGCCCCGTTTTTCTTCTTTTAATATGGATTCTTTCGGGTTAGGTAGTAAAGTGTTTATTGTATGTGAGGTTAGGTAGTAAAATATCTATTGTATGTGAGGGTTTGAATACAGTTTGACATCAATGCTCAAATTATTAAAAGTCTACTAATTTCTGGCATAAAAGGGACTGAAACAAATTTTTTACTGTTTTAAACTTTGATATAAGATGTTTGGATTGAAACATCTAGATAGTACTATATTCTTTAAGTAGTTCAATTCAATTAGTGAGTATTCTTTGTGTGTGCAAGATTGTATAGCACGACTTACATAGGTGAAGTAGGAGAATATTTTCTGTGATTAAATCTTATGTGTGACAGAATGGGATTTCCTGGATATACCGGTGGTAGCTTTATTACTTTCTCTCTTTATATTCACACCTAAAAAGGGACGACAACTGCTGGATTCTATTTCATGTCGCCATATACTGAAGATATCGTCTACGTATCTTAAACAAAGTTCTGATTTCTAGGTGTGCATGAATTTGCTTCCAAATAGTTGTTCTAGAACGGACGTGTAGAGGTCACTAAGTAGATGATAAAGATTGGTGTTATTTGATTTTTATATGGATGAATATTTGAAATTATATTACTGAGTCAGGCAAGACATAATAGCACAAAAACGATGAATTATTTATATATTTCTCAAAGAACTTATATTTTGGGCGACAGGAACGTGTATGATGTGTTACACATTCCTTATTTTATAGAACTTTTACATGTAGAATACAGTATTGTTAAACTGGGTAGTTGGATCGTGCGTGAAAAGTATATTTTTTCATTTTATTTTATTTAAATAAAAAGTAGAAAACTCTTTAAAAAACATGATCAATAACCAGAGACGGCGCTAAAAGAGGCTTGGGGAGGGAGGCCATAGCCACCCCAAACACTGTGACCCACAAACTGGTGAACAACACATATTGACGGCAAACACTCCCCAACGTTCTGTCTGAAGTTTAATTCAACAATTAAGTTTCATAATTGTAAGTTCTACTGTATACATAAACGATTAAATTTCATATATATATATATCTTTTCATTCTCATACTTTTCTTAAACCATTAAATTTCGTATATATAAATATATATATATCTTTTCATTCTCATACTTTTCTTAAACCATAAATTTCGTATATATAAATATATATATATCTTTTCATTCTCATACTTTTCTTAAACCATTAAATTTCATATATATAAATATATATATATCTTTTCATTCTCATACTTTTCTTAAACCATTAAATTTTGTATATATAAATATATATATATATCTTTTCATTCTCATACTTTTCTTAAACCAATAAATTTCGTATATATGAATATATATTTACTTCTATAGTTTACTTAAATCACCTAATTTCATAATTTTAGGGCTACTAGTATTTGCATTACACGCAGAACCAAAATTCTAATCACGTCTATTTATATATCAAAGATCGACAACAGTACTTTCTCTTGTACTCTGAAAAACAAACGAATACTTCCTTTTTTTGTTTAACAATGTAGGCTTAAATAAGTTAAATCAATTTTTCTGTGTCCCAAACTTGAAGTTTGTAACTTACTGATAATGAGTCATTGTCATCAGTGTTTAATTATTCAGAAGTAACTTACTGGTAAGTAATAAGGCATGGTCGTCAATGTTTAATTACTGAGGAGTAATTTACTGGTAATAAGGCATGGTCATCAGTGTTTAATTATTAAGAAGTAATTTACTGGTAATAAGGCATGGTCATCAGACGTACTTACTGGTAAAAAGGCATGGTCATCAGTGTTTAATTATTGAGAAGTAACTTACTGGTGATAAGGCATGGTAATTAATGTTTAATTCTTCAGAAGTACCTTACTGGTTATAAGGCATGGTCATCAATGATTAATTATCGAGAAGTAACTTACTGACAGTGACTGTCATACTTAGTTGTGGTCCTTTGTGTGTGATAAATCACATAACTTACTAATTGTATTTATCACACATGCACACATATATAAATACAAACACATCAATACAGCAAAAATTAAAAAATGGTCACAAATTATTTCAAATGCATTTAAATACTAGATAAATTACTCTTTTTTTATTTGTAATGTACTAAATACATTACACCATTAAGTAATTCTAATTAAATTCTAATTACATTACTAGAAAAGGTAAATACATCATGCTAATCTTAATCTTAAAAGGAAAAATAACAATCAATTAGTCATATACAATAAATATCAAATCATCACAAAATATTTAAAAATTTAATTTAAATGGGGCAAAGATAAAACAACACAAAAATTGATTATGCAGCCAGGACAGAACATGTTCAAAAGATGGCTGGCAGAACAATAATCGCCAGTTGCTGACATCACAGCCAGGACAGAACATGTTCAAAAGATGGCTGGCAGAAAAATAATCGCCAGTTGCTGACGTCACAGCCAGGACAGAACATGTTCAAAAGATGACTGGCAGAACAATACTCGCCAGTTGCTGACGTCACAGCCAGGACAGAACACGTTCAAAAGATGACTGGCAGAACAATACTCGCCAGTTGCTGACATCACAGTGTTTCTGAAAACTTTATTGTTCTCAGTTTACCACAGTTCGTTAGCAGACCATTAATCCTAGCGCTCGTGCGTCCCTGTGCATGCACGCCCTAATGGCCACCAGTACTTACCAGTAATAGGTCATGGTCATCAGTGTTTAATAATTAAGAAGTAAGTTACTGGTAATAAGGCATGGACATCAGTGTTTAATTTAAGAAGTAACTTACTGGTAATAAGGCATGGGATCCACTTTAGCGTGACACTCAATAAACACGGTGGCAACCTTTAGAACGTTACATTCTCGAATTCCACGAATCTGTGATTCCCAGCTGTGTTTGCATGATGACTCTTGTGCTTTTGTTGAAAAGATTGGTTTACATCGCCGCGTGCTACCCCTCTAAAGTTCAAATAGAAAAAAATATAAGAAACTACAATTTTATTTCACTTCCAGTAGTACAAAATAACATACACTAGGTAAACACGTAAATATTTATTTTTTAACATCGGTTTATAACTTATCATGTTGATATTGCTCAAGTCATTCCCCTGAACTCATGAACGGTTTTTATTTCGCAATGAAAGTTAATGCGTTTCATTTTGTTTAACGGAAACTGGGGTTTATTACTATTGATGGAAGTAAAATAATGGCCCATATCTCTAGAATGTATCTTTATTGGTCCAATATAAGATACATTGAGGAGATATAAGTCTTTATTTTATTTACTTTAAGGTACTTCATATTACAAGTTTATCTATAGCTTAAAAATAAAATATCAAAAATACATACTGAAAGTAAATACTTTAACTCGGTAGATCCAGCGCATCTCAGATGCCAGCATCGAGTATGTATAGAAAAGAACGTACTTCAAAGTTACGAAATTATTTTGGTTGTTCAAACTTCCGTTCACAGTATCGTAAGAATTGTATGTTCAGAAAGAAACGGAATTATCTTTATTATACGTAATCATACAGGTCAACATCCGTGAAATGCTAGAAGGTACTATCCAGTCACGTGATAATGACAGGACTTGTATTTCTCATGATTGTAATCGAAAGGTTAGGATGAACCGTCCTAACACATCCTGCATATATTCCTAATACGCTATGACTTCCCTCTCAAAGATGACAACAAAAACCGCTGTAAATAACTGGATACATAATACCACGCCTACAATTTACCAAACGGATATAATAAACCTCATAAATTTATGAAGGAAATGCATCATACATAGAGGGGGCCAGGATGAGAAATGATATTTGGTCACCACAACATCAATAAGGTTACTCAATTATTTTTAAATTATCCCTGCTTTGACTCAGACTAACATAATTATAGTAATTTGCCAAAGAAGTGATAAAATGTTTGAAGTAACTCAGTTTATGTAGTTTTGACTTTCTTGTTTAAATACTTTTTGTAGCATTAAAAATCTATATATTATTATAGCTAGTTAGGCTACGTGTATATCGATCCCTTCTTGTCTTTATAAAACTTAATTTGTTTTATTATACTTGTTTGTTTCTTTTTTTATTAGCTATGTTTTTGCGCGCCAGCAATACCAAGCGTGGGACGCGCGTACACCCGATTCGATTTTATTAGTCATCAGGATCTCTACCAACCTACCCACAAATCTCATTATATGCCCAAAGTAGCGCATCGTCCGTTATCTATCCACATATATATATATATATATAATAGTATTCTTTTCGGTACAATAAAGGTATAATTAGAATCCCAGACAGAAAAGTTCTGTGAAAGAATTAGAGCGATAAGGTTTGTCATTTTTTCTGTATGGTTATCTGGAAAAGTCACTTACTTACCTACTTACTTAGATGAAAATTCGTTGAAACAGTGAAATTTTGATTTAGGTGGCTTTATAAGTATAATAAGCTTTAGTTTTGTTCAGCCAATACTGTGAAATAGTCATTGTTAATATTCAGACATTTTAAAGGTGGTTTTAAACGGGCGAGTTTTATGGCCGCCATTTTGTTTCATCACCTTTCCTATTATTAAGTACTAACGTACTTAACGATATTAAGAGAATATTAAGTTGTTTGTTTAATTATTATTCTGTAATGTCGATTTATACCACCTCCAAAAACTAAATAGCGTTTCAACTAAACTTTTGGGTCTTCGTAACCGACGCAAACTGACAACCTCTAGAATCTAGAGATAGTTCTCGAAGTCAGCCTTGTAGTAGACATAATCCGATAAGTTTTTCATATGGTAAGCATACGTGGTAAGTTTTATATATATTAGTTATTCATGGGTGCCTTTTTTGTATCATATTTATGTTTTATAAAGAGAAACGATTGTTTCTTACCACGTATTTTCTAAAATATATTGCATTACTATTTAATTATCAGTTCAATAAATGTCATTCATTTCACAAAGTGTTACGTGTTATGAGACAAGTCAATACCTACTTTCCATTCGTTCCCAAATGTTTCCACATCCGTTATTATATCCCCTTTTCTTGTAATGAAATCATCCTTTGAATCGTCGTTGTAGTTTCCACAAAGTCCACACATCTGGTTCTTAAACTTTGGAGGTATAGAGACCTCTACAAAACTACCTCCGTCCCACATGACTTTGACCCCTGTTAAGTCATCGAAATATCTTCATTAATAACAGATCCACCTATATCTTGGTTTGTATTTTAAAATAGAAAATGACCCAGAAATACATTTATATCAAGTGTAGCGACTTTTTTATTGAAACATGCGCGTGGACGATCGTTACCATTTTTTCTACTAAAGGAAAGACTTCCAAGTAGAAATGAATATTGGTTACATCTGATGTACATCTTTCTTTGTGTATTTCTGATACAATATATAGTTACATAACACTAGAGCTCATTAAGGGTTCTAAAACCTGCCGATTTGACCGCCTTGCAGTTTAAAATCTAGTAATAAACATCTGTAATACTACTTCAAACAGACAGTATTCGATAATTGTAATAAACATCTGTAATACTACTTCAAACAGACAGTATTCGATAATTGTAATAAACATCTGTAATACTACTTTAAACAGACAGTATTCGATAATTGTAATAAACATCTGTAATACTACTTCAAACAGACAGTATTCGATAATTGTAATAAACATCTGTAATACTACTTCAAACAGACAGTATTCGATAATTGTAATAAACATCTGTAATACTACTTCAAACATACAGTATTCGATAATTGTAATAAACATCTGTAATACTACTTCAAACAGACAGTATTCGATAATTGTAACTACAGCCTTTCCGAGTAAGTGTCGAGTTGGGTAGAGATTTCACAGTTTTTGAAAGATAGAAAGTTAATTTCAGATTATAAATATATCCAAATGTACAACATCATTGACGAATGAATAGATGTAGTATAGAATGGCTGAAACTGATGACGTGATTCATATTATAAAGATGATAGTATTATTTGAACAATTAAGATCACTGAGAGTTTGGATCAGGCTACGTCTACTGTAAATTGATTCTAAACTAACTTTAATCGTTTATTTCACTATCTAACTGGAACACGGTAATAAAAAAATCAATTGTGATCCCTAAAAAAAGTCTGTATCGTTTTAAACTAACAGAATGTCATTGTTCACTAGGCGCGTTTTTCAGGCTCCAATAAATACCATAAATCCAGTTTCGCTAATACACATGGGAAAAAACCTAAAAGGCATGGATGATGCAGTGTAGACCTGTGAATGGTGTAATGGAAACAATTAACAAAGTAAAAGAAGCATAACCAAACTGCAGAAGTAGCCATGACTTCAATGGTGGAATAATAAAACGTTACGATTTTCTTAGACTGTATTGGCTAAGGTAAGATGGATTAGATTAAGTTTGTAATTAGATGTTTGTGAAAGAAAATATAATCGTTCTAAAGCAAATGTTTTATTATAGTGGAAGAATTAGGTCAAAATTAGATCGGTGAATTATCTGTTGATACGGACAAGGTTAGTTCTACATATAAAATAGCTCATTAATTACAATCTACAGCAATTAAACAGTTCCATAACATCACAATTATTCGGTGAATTATCTGTTGATACGGACAAGGTTGGTTCTACATATAAAACAGCTCATTAATTACAATCTACAGCAATTAAACAGTTCCATAACACAACAATTATTAGGTGAATTATCTGTTGATACGGACAAGGTTAGTTCTACATATAAAACAGCTCATTAATTACAATCTACAGCAATTAAACAGTTCCATAACACAACAATTATTAGGTGAATTATCTGTTGATACGGACAAGGTTAGTTCTACATATAAAATAGCTCATTAATTACAATCTACAGCAATTAAACAGTTCCATAACATCACAATTATTCGGTGAATTATCTGTTGATATGGACAAGGTTGGTTCTACATATAAAATAGCTCATTAATTACAATCTACAGCAATTAAACAGTTCCATAACATCACAATTATTACCAAGATTAGTTCTTGCAACTATGCTGTAACCTTCCTGAACTACGGAGAACGATCCCAGTTTAACATACGGAAGTTGTACTTTTCTCTTGTTGACCTTCACCTTCATAAATCGAGCCATTCGGATTTTGCTTTGACCTATCTATAAAGTTGGAAAAAAGACTGGAATGTTTCATGAGATTCTACAAGAAATTTAGTTTCGTAAATAAAACTTCACAGGACTAATATAAAGCGCTGCATATAAAGCTCCACATGGAGTTACAGCGAAAAACAGAAATACACCATTTCAAAGTGTAGGCTACAGAGATAGCTTTCTAGCACGGCCGATTTTCAGTCAACTATAAGACAATTTAAAAGTAATTTTAAAATGAAACCAGGATCAGGAAGAACACTGTTCAGAAAGTAGTAATATGATGATTTATAGGAGGCTTGGTTTCTTCCCAAAAAACTGTCGTTATCTATGACGTATTGCAGTCAGAGAACTTCAAACAATAAGAAATTAGTTGTTGATAGGAAATATTTTAATTTTATGACAATACATTGCCATTTGTATAGCTTAGCTTCTTGTATACTATGTGCACGAAGATATCCTAAAACAATCTACACTATAGAGTTGCAAATATAACTATATTGTTAATGATAAGTTTAAAGTTAACCTATGGTATATGGTTAACTCACTTTCATTTTCACAACTTTCGTCCAAGAGAATGTCTTTGAGTGTCGAGGGTCGTTAATGACCTGGATAGCGAAGCTTTTATTTCCCTTACAATCTTTGGCCAGGAGGTACTTACAAGAACCCTGGTAGTTGAAAATTCGTCCGTCGAACGTTCGGTAATGTGGATCACCGAACACAGAACACACTCCATCGTCTACAAAAAAAAAAACGTTATTCGCAGTGTTTCAATTGTGCAAGAAAATTCAATCAGGTTCGAACCGTTAGCTTTCTGTAATTTGATATCGGGAATACTAAAATCGCTTTACTAGTATTTAAACCCAACTGACTCCAAGAGTAATTTTTCAGATAACTTTTACTATAGCGCTTTAAAACTTGAGAAGTGGTTAGGTTTTGAAGTTAATCACAAAGCTACACAATAGGCTATCTGTGTTCTGCCCACCACGAGTATCGAACCCGGTTTATAGCTTTCAGATGTGACTAACCTCACTCACTAACAGCAGTTCCAAGTTACATACAGAGCAAAACATTTTAAGTACAATTTTTTTATGATAGAGCACCACAGGAAACTTCATAACGCTGTAATTAATAGCTGCTACGAACCTGCAGAAGACTTAATATTTATTATTAAGTAAGTTACTTACAATGCAATATACAAACATACTTACACGTCATGATCAAATTAACAATAGAAATGGGGAAAACGTTACGTATCATGAATTAAAATTATTTACTGGTGATTTTAATTCCTGTATTACAACTTTGTTCCACCCTTTTTCCTCTTTTATACAATGTAACATTTTAAATTCTCTGAGCGTAACGTGTAAAGAATTAAAACTTCACTATTTTCTTTCTCGACAGTTTGATATTACGAAATAGACCACCTATTGCTAAGAATCAATAGTTTTGTTTCCTCCAGTATTTTTATCCTGCGACTTCCTCTCGATTAGAACCGTGCATACAAAATAGAAAACAAAGGTTTCTGTTTATTCATAATAATATATCGAATGTGGAAGCTGTAAGGAATTAAAAGTATTAAAATTATTTTTGTTTTTACTTGAAAAAAAATGATCGATTTTCCTTAACAAGGAATTTTTTATATTTTTATTTCTTTCCAAGTTTTTAGGTTGAACAAACAAAAAAAAAACATTAATTATTTAAGTTACATGTTTTCATGCAATCACCTTCTACACATGTCGCACAGCAGTCTCCTGGTATTAGTTTAAGTTTGTGCCGCTTGGGGCAGGACTTTTCCGAACACTGTATCACTTCGCACGTTATCTCACCGTCACTGCAAGAACACAAAGTGCATCGTTCTTTCTTCCAACTTTCACCATCCTATTATGCGAAAAGAAAAAAAAAAGAAACTCAAAGTAAATCTAAAATATACTGGAATTGGTTCTTTATAAGGAAATTCATATTCATAAAGTGTGATGATAGCAATTGGTAGCAAATAAAGTTTTAAGTCAAATCGGTTTCTCCAGTAAAAATCAATAACAGTAATTCCATTACTGATCAAACTTTTACACATAGCAGAAACCTTTTTAAATTTACCCCAGAATCTTGAATGTTAGAAAAATAAATTCAATGTTTTATTCAATTATCCTCCAACTGAAATAAAAAAAATTCAAATAACTTTTACAACAGCTTTTGGACAGTGCAAATAAAAATGAAAAGGGGGAAAATTTTGTACCGTTATTATTATTTTTTAATTATTAATGATTGTTTTGTGTAAAAAAGAACAAATACCTGGTATACTCGACCTTCAATCATGCACACTGCTTTAGTCTCTTCTGGGTCACGACACTTGTAACAACAAAGGTTCGGTAACAGCTCTTGAAATTCAGGTGGACAGTGAACCGGAGGGCAAACTGTCCTCTGGCAAATTGTGGTGGAGTTCTGAAAATGTTCATGTAAGACTATCCATGATACTACTCACTTATCCCAGATTACACTTAAGCACTTTTGTTAATTTAATGATTGTTTAAAAGCAGCCAAAAACAAACAAATGTAGAAAACTTTACACAAAATCGAATCTTTTATAATTGGTTAATAATATCGTTCAAGATGTCAGAAAAACACGAAGGTTCAAGAAATCAATTTAAAACAAAAATACGATACCCTATAACCCGTTTTTATTTATTTTATTTATTTATTGCATGTCACTATTGGTAGAATTATCAATCTGATTTCCTATTTAAACTTTTAATAAGGCTAAACCTGATCAACTTAGCTCATTAGTGGAGTTACATAAATTAGTTACTCGAGTTAATCCTTGGTTAATAATCTTGATTTTGAGTTGATCTAGTAATTTCTAACTCCAATAAAACTCAATACTATTAAAAAAAAACTCTTAAAATATGACTTAAACAGACTGTTGTATTGACGTCTGGTGTAGGGCGAACTGTAGCTTCTCAATCACCCCAGCTGCTATATATCATATATACACCAATCAAAACACAGTCTAAAAGTCACTCCAGGTTCCCAGGATTGTAAAAACTAGCATCTTCTTCAGAATGTATCAACCTATTTATAAAAACCAGAGATGTAGAAGGTAAATTAAAAGTGGGAAGGCCTAAGGCTTATTTGACCAAGCGAAGCGAGGGTATGCACGCCAGGGTTCGCTTTAGGATCCTGGAAGCTTTTAGGTTAATGATTAAATTTTATGCATTTTGGTTTTTCAGAGAGTAATTTTTCTAATTTTTTTTGCATTTCTACTAGGACAGGTTCAAAAGTGAGGGGCGGGGGCTTCCTACGCCACTGATGCAGACAATGAAACATTTTTCTTACGATGTTAAACGCCGAAAGCTGACAATGCAACGGAACCAGTAGGCCTAATAATAGTAAGCAGAATCACATATGCAGTGTAGCGTAACTGTAACGAATTACGATTTCTTCTCTATATTTTACAAAAGCAATACTAACTAAACGATTAGCAGAAATAAAATTTACCAGTCTTTTAGAAGGTATTACAACCCAAGTTAGATGTGTTCAAATGCTAGTTAAGAAACCTAAATCGTGTAACTACATATTAATAACTGGTCAAAACTGTACCAAATTTGTAAATCTGAGTTAGGAACGAAAATTTCAATGAAACGAAAACAAATTATATCATATGACACCGAAACAAATACTCACGTTGCACGTGCAGTGAGTGCAATGATCTAGCATAATATTCTGCCCATGTTTAATTTCAGTCATTCCGACTAGACATCTTCCATTGAAGTCGTAGATTTTACGGCTACCTAAAAATAAAACTAATATTTTGAATTCATGCTTTCAAACAGTCACAAGCTGATTTTTTTTATCAATAAAGAATTGACCAAGCTTTCTCAGTTTGATTGATATGATTCAGTAAGATTCATTTTCGTCTTGTAGTCTAAGCCTAACTTTTTTTGGAACAATTGGGAAGTGTATAGAAGGTCACGCATTAAAAAGTTTTTGATAAAAAAGAAGAGGCAACTGTTCCAAACGTTGCTCAATCTACAGACTTAAATAGCTGTAACTCGTAACGACTCCACGAAGTAGCAAAGACAATGAATATTTGAATAACATCGATGTATGACAACACGAAACAAGTTTTAAGAGCGTTAGTGACGCATTTACTGCAAGTGTACAGTAATGATGCTTGTTTGTTTTAGAGCTGTGACGGTTTACTATTACATATTTATTTTAAAATCGATGTTTCTTTAAATTATATTTATATTTAGAAATGTACACAACTTATACTGTTAAATATGTATTGCTAAACTCCCGCTTATTCTTTAAAGTTGTAGAAGATTCTCGAGAAGAATCAACAATATATCTGTGTACGTAAACGCTAATGTCAGCGTCAGTATTGTTACGTTTGTTTGTTTTTGAATTTCGCGCAAAGCTACACGAGGGCTATCTGCGCTAGCCGTCCCTAATTTAGCAGTGTAAGACTAGAGGGAAGGAAGCTAGTCATCACCACCCACCGCCAACTCTTGGGCTACTCTTTTACCAACAAATAGTGGGATTGACCGTCACATTATAACGCCTCCACGGCTGAAAGGGCGAGCGTGTTTGGTGGGACGGGGATTCGAACCCGCGACCCTCAGATTGCGAGTCGAGCGCCTTATTCACCTGGCCATGTCGGGCCATGTATTGTTACGTAAACTAAAGTTTCGAGAAACTCCCCAAACGCCTATAAATATAACCAATGCGACGCGCCAAAAAACAGTACATATTATTGGTTTGCTATAATTGGTGTGCTATAAACTTCGGAAGTTATAACGCTTATTAATCGGGACACTTCAGATATTTAACGAGGAACATTTATAAATTTCGAATATTACAAACCATTTAACTTCAGGGAATTCACATCGGACATTAGTATTTTTACGAAAACATTACCTAACGTCATCGGTAGAAAAAATCGACGTGTGATCAGTGAAGACCACAAAGCTAGCTAGCTCCCTGTGAAGTGAATTGTACCTACGTTAACGCTCGTCGTGAACCCTCGATAAGATATCAAGGAAGTTTCAGACTAGAAGGAAGACTTTGTATCGCTTGTAAGTTTGTGGAACTTTTGTATATAAATCATTGTTTGTAATAACTATTTGTAATGACTGTTATTGCAAATTGTATTATCGTTTGTATATTAAAACATATTTGTATTAAAAACAAAACTGTGTGTATCAATCTTGTTGGCAAATATCATAAATTGGAGATATATATCTGCATTTACTTAACTAATAACTTTAAATTACAATTTAACTCAGTTTTAGGCTATTTGAAATTGAATGTGTAACAGATAAAAGCCACATTGAGTTATCTTTTTTTCCCCATCACAGAGAATCGAACCACGGATTTTAGTGTCGCAAATCCGTAAACTTACCGCTGTCTCAACAGGGGATTAGTAAAAAATACTTCTGAAGTATAATAAACAAAATCGAAGGTTATCTAGTGTATAGTGAATAATTTATGAAATATTATAAAAATGTTAAAGGTTGTCTAGTGTATAGTAATATTCTAAATAACTTTGAAGCGTAATACTAGATAACCTTTACTTTTGGTATAGTAATATTCTAAATAACTTTTGAAGCGTAATAAAAAATAAAGGTTTTCTAGTGTATAGTAATATTCTAAATAACTTTTGAAGCGTAATAAAAAATAAAGGTTGTCTAGTGTATAGTAATATTCTAAATAACTTTGAAGCGTAATAAAAAATAAAGGTTGTCTAGTGTACAGTAATATTCTAAATAACTTTTGAAGCGTAATAAAAAATAAAGGTTGTCTGGTGTGGATAAAGTTTTGAAATATAATAAACAAAAGTAAAGGTTATCTAGGGTATTGTAATTGTGTGAATAACTCATGAAGTATAACACCTAAATAAGTTGCTTTACGTACGAAGGGTTAAATTAAGTGATGCAAATACACCGTCATTACTTGTCGAGAAGTATTTTCAACACAGAGAACAAGCCCAAAATATTGTTTATGGACTGCTTCGCGATTTTACTTTAAAAAATTTAATCGAAAATATTTCATCGAGCTCTCATCGACATTTAAAACTCTTACCTAAATCATTCGTGTATAACTGTACAAACTTCTCTATTCAGAAATATGGCCTGAGAAACAACAGGAAGTTTCTTTAAAAATTTGAAGAAAGAGAGAAAGAAAAAACAGAGAACATGAGAATTTCGTGTTTGTTATATGAAATAACAAAGTAATACTACATTTTCTGTGATATTTATCATACATTTGTTTGAAAACAACAATTTAATAGTTAGAACTCAAAAGCACTCATATAATCAGGATTTTTTAATATTTTTCCTTATAATATGCTTTTACGATTCAAAACATGTCACTATGTTATCAGGAGATGGCGCGCAAGCAGTGTAAGTGTATTATTAAAAAACCGATGCCGACACCAATGTTTCAACATGTAGAATATTTTATTTATATAAAGTTAAAAGCAGAAAAATATACGTTAGAAATCTTTACATGTTTCGGAGGAACACGTTCTACCATCTTTAGGAGACCAAGAAGACACATAAAGTTCCTTTATACGCACTGTAAATGTACGTCTACAATATGCATCTTGTGCAGTGGCACCATTTACAAAATCGATTTCTATAAATGTATTTCCGTGACCTAAATCTCCATTCAAAATCATTTTATTTTGAACCATTTCTAATATATATATATATATATATTATATTTCTCTTATATTTAATTCGTTTTTTAACTTTACTTGTTTAAATATTTTTACATTGTCCCAATCAATGACGTGTGAAGAGTTCGCCAGATGTCCGCCAAGTCTGAATCACGCGTTTTTAATTTATCAAGAACACATTTATGGTCTTTAGTTCTAAGTGTTAAATATCTACTTGTCTATCTAATACATCGTGTCACCCATTACCCCAGAAAACGTTCTCGTTTTTGTGTTTTGCACATGGGGCCCTTAATGTCTAATTCATATAATGAGGATTTTTGTTTGTTTGTTTGTAGTTACGCACAAAGCTACACAATGGGCTATCTGTGCTCTGCCCACCACGGGTATCGAAACACGGTTTCTAGTGTTGTAAGTCTGCAGACATACCGCTGTGCCACTGGGGGGTCTAATGAAGATGATCATGCATTTCGAAACGTTGGTGTCGTCATCTTATTTTTATTAAAACTTTGCACAAGAGGTCCTAGTCTAAAGTACTGAATCTTTATATTCTTGGAAGAAAAACAAATTAAATGTTTACCTCTGCAACGCGGACAGCATTCTCCAGGTTTGGTTACATATTTTGATTCAGGGCAAGGCAAAACAGGGCAGGCTTTCTTCGAACAAACGATGTTTCCGTTCTGTTCGTGGTAAAAACAAATTACAAGTCATTTTTTTTTTAAATACACATATCAATTTGATGAAAGTCGAATGTTCATAGATCTAAAACTTATGAATAAATTATAACTTCTAAATTTAATTGGGTTGAATTAAAACAATGATTTTTTCAGTTTTAGTCGATTCATTTTTTCTCTACAGATAACACAGTAAATATTATTGAGAGTATCGTTCTTATAAAAAAACCATCTTACAACAGGCTAAGTGTTATGCAGCGTTTACAGGCTGAAGATCGGGTTATCCTTTACCTCTTAGAGCATGGTCTATGTGAAATCGAAATGAAACTTTTCTCGTTGACTATGGTACCATACTAAAACAACTGTACAAAATGTCACATTTTGAACACAATTAAAATTGGTTCATTACTTTAATATTAAAAACACGTTGATAACAGACTTCAGCATCTCATTGCTCAAGCTGATAGTTTTCTCGTAAAGACACTTAGTGTCAGAAAAATCTGAGAAAAAGGTATTTGGACAAGTAACTTTTCATTAGTATTAGAGTTCTTACATAGTGTTTTTCTGTTATAAAGTATATTTTCTAAGATAACTTTTTCTTCGAACTAGCAGACTATTACTTAATATTGTCAACGAACTAGCAGACTATCACTTAATATTGTCAACGAACTAGCAGACTATTACTTAATATTGTCAACGAACTAGCAGACTATTACTTAATATTGTCAACGAACTAGCAGACTATTACTTAATATTGCCAAAACATACATTTCTAAATCGATATCAAATGTTCTGAAGTTCTGTACTCCGACTTTGTTGATGATATTAAGGTTTAATCTTATAGTTACATATTTTTACTTACATTTCGCAAACAATGTTTCCTTACGGATATTTGGCAAACATTTAAATACGTTCAGCGTTCGTTAACCCTAACCGCCAGTAGGTCACTGATATTTACATATTGTTATATTTCGAGCTGTTTTTCTTTATTTGTAACTTTTAAATCTTCTCAGATATCTGTATTGTCTCATTCTCCTGGGTTAAATATTAGTTTCATAAAGATTAAGTAGTTATATGTTCGAGGTTTAGCTCTTGTGTCATTAGTGTTTCAGAGTGATGTTACTTGATACTCAGGGCTTTGGTATATATTTCTAAAGACTACACTACTTGTGTCTTAAATCTTTATCCCAAGAACATGGTTTTTGCTTTGTTACAGCTTTCCATTCGTAATGAATTCCTTGTTAACAGCGTTTGATGTTCATATCGATAGGGACACAAGAACATGGTTCTCATATTATTACAGCTTTCCACTCGCATTTGATTTATTTGATTCCTTATTACCAGTGTTTCCTGCTCATGTTGTTAGGGTTTGGTGCTCACAAGGACATGGTTCTCACGTTTTTATAGCTTTCCACTCATATTGGATTCCTTATAACCAGTGTTTGATGCTCATATTATTAGGGTTTGCTGTTCACAAGGACATGGTTCTCACGTTGTTACAACTTTCCACTCATATTTCATTCTTTGTTATCAGTGTTTGATGCTCATGTTGTTAGGGTTTGGTGCTCAAAAGGACATGGTTCTCACGCTTTTACAGCTTTCCACTCATTCCTTGTTATCAGTGTTTGATGCTCATATTGTTAGTGGTGGATATTAAAGTTACGAAGCTAACTTGTTCAAGTCATATGTTTGATACTTGTTTTGTTGAGATATAGTGTTCATGTCATTAGGCAAAGAAGGCTGACCTCGTTGAGCCTTCAAATTCAGCTGACAGCCATATGCTATGATGTAATTTGTACATACGTGTTGATATGGCCTGGCTAGAAATATTTCACAGAAATCTCCCGTCACAAATAATTCGTAATCAACTTATTACACAGACTTGACTTCTTAGTTTGTTACAGTTAAGAACTCGTGTTGTTGAGATTATTACTTGTATCATTATGGTTGAGTTTTTAGATCCATGCCACCAAAACTTAGTATATGTGTTGTTATGTGCTTCTGCTCGTATCAAAGAGATTTGTAAGTATTTCGTTCGAGTTTAATAGTCTTGTAACAAGGATTTGATATTCACGTTCGCATGATGCTTATTTTTGCTCAATGACTGTGATGTTCAAACTAACAAACTAATTTAATTTAATAAGCATTACATAATACTCTATTTTATACACGCTCATTATGACTTAATATTTAATAAGCACTACATATTATTGTATTTTATACACACTCAGTCTGATTTAGTAAGCACTACATAATACTGTATTTTATACACGCTCATTCTGACTTAATATGCATTACACCGTATAGCGTCTTATGTACACTTAATCTCAACTAACACGCATTGCATAAAAGTGCATCTTATACACACTTAATCTGATGTAATAGGCACTACATAATATTACATTTAATACACACATAATATCAACTCTTAGGCACTACATGATGCCAGATCTTATATACAATGTGATCTAAGAGGCACTACATAATATACATCTTATGCACAATCTGATTTAATAGGCACTGCATAATACTGTATCTTATAAACACTTAATATGTTCTAATAGGCCTACATAATACTGCATGTTTTACACAGTTAATCTGATCTAATAATCATTACATACTATAGATCTTGTACACTTTTGATCTAATAGGCACTGCATAACAATCCATCTTTTACATAATCTGATCTTACAGGTACTACATAATACCACATCTTATACACACTTAATCTGACCTAAAAGGCACTACACTACACAATAGTGCATCTTTTACCTGCGTAATCTGATCTAATAGATACTACATACTACTTAATCTGTTTTAATAGACACTACATAATACAACATCTTATACATCCTTAACCTGGCCTAATAAATACTACTTAATACATATCTTATCTACAGTATGGTTTAATTGTATAATAATGAATCTTATAAACGCGTAATCCGAACTCATATATACTAAATAATAACTAATTCTATACACACTGAAGCTGATCATACAGGCACTACACAAAACCGCATTTTATACACGATGAATGTGATCTAATAGAAACTGCATAACACCCCATCTTATACATGCTAAATCTGATCTAATAAAAACTGCATAATACCTCATCATATATACGCTGAATCTGATCAAATAGGAACTGCACAATACCGTATATTATACATGCCGAACTGATATAATAGGAACTGCACAATACCGCATCTTATACATGCCGAACTGATATAATAGGAACTGAACAATGCCGTATCTTATACATGCTGAACCTGATATAATAGGAACTGCATAATACCGTATATTATACATGCCGAACCTGATATAATAGGAACTGCATAATACCGTATATTATACATGCCGAACCTGATATAATAGGAACTGCATAATACCGTATATTATACATGCCGAACCTGATATAATAGGAACTGCATAATACCGTATATTATACATGCCGAACCTGATATAATAGGAACTGCATAAAACCGCATCTTTTACACGATTATTATGATATAAGAGGCCCTAATAACAAACAGTTCTCATGTGCTGGATTTTTTAATTTATCTTTCTCACCAAGATTTTAAAGAAACTTCCTATTGTTTCGTAGACCAAATTTCTGAGCAATTTGTAAAGTTATTTATAGACGTATAATTTAGGTGCGCGTTTGAAATTTCGATGAGATCTCGAAGAAGGACCTCTGATTACATTTAAGTGAAATTCTCAAAACAGTCCATAAATAGTATTTTTGTTTGTCCTATGTACACGAAACTTTATAAGGAAGATCGATATCAGAAAAGTAGTTATTGAAAATATTTCCCGACAAATAATGACGCTGTAATTACATCATTTAATTTAACCCTTCGTACGTAAAGCAACTTATTTGGGTAATAATGACGCTGTAATTACATCATTTAATTTAACCCTTCGTACGTAAAGCAACTTATTTGGTAATAATTGATACCGATGTCTAAATACTGAAGAAAACATATACTGCGGATGAATGGGAATATTACATAAGGAAGAACATAAAAAGTTTACGTAGAAACTTTCTAGCTCTAACCCTCATTATAAGTTTTCCTTCGGTTTTATGACATTATGATCAAAGCTTTATCTTTCAACTAGGTTTTCCTTACAGATAACATACACTGTAGCTCAAAGAGTGCGTGCAAGGAATTAACATTGCTGGCATACGAACACGAATACATATTAGAAGATTACGTTGTTTTAAAATCAACTTCATTTTCGTTCTTCTAATTCCATGAGTAATAATTATATATACTTGAAGGTTAGATAGTGAACACATTTTAATAGAAGATTAATAACCTACATAAATATCAAATAACATACGGGATTGGCCTTATCTGACAGAGAGGAAAACCAAGTTACATGAGAGACTATAAAAATTAAGCATTATTCATAGGAACGCCAATCTAACTACACAGCTCGTTGTTTCTCTCCAATAACTGAAACGAAAAACAAAGTTTGGGCGATAAAATTATCTTTTATTCTGTAGTAAAGTATGTAACTTTGTATAATATCTGAAATAGTCGAGCATGTATCCTAAAGGCAAATTAAGTTCAAGATTGTTTCTTTTCTTACTGAAGCTGTTCTAAAACGAGTATTTAAGATCTATCCAGAGCTATTTTAGTTAAATAAATAAACAATTTGATGTTAATATTATCATACACCTAACTGTGACTTAAATATAATGGATAAAGCTACAATTTACCAAGTTTCTCTAATTCACACCGAAACATTTGTTGTCCAAGTAATTGATGATAGAGATAGCGTCTTTACCACTACCCTTAATTATCGTGTCACAAAGGCTTAGTTGATGATGTAGATAGCGTCTTTACCACTACCCTTGATTCTCGTGTCACAAAGGCTTAGTTGATGATATAGATAGCGTCTTTACCACTACCCTTGATTCTTGTGTCACAAAGGCTTGGTTGATGATAGAGATAGCGTCTTTACCACTACCCTTAATTCTCGTGTCACAAAGGCTT